CTCCTCTAACTGCCTCAGCTAGTATTGGAATTCTTGGCGTTGACATATCAAGCGACGTCCAGTTTCGGGACCATTTAGAGGGCAAGGCCAAATTGGCCTCTAAGAAGCTTGGTGTGCTCAATAAATCGAGAATGTACTTCACACCGGCCCACCGACTGCAGCTTTATAAGGCACAGGTTCGGCCTCACATGGAGTACTGCTCTCATCTTTGGGCGGGGGCACCCCAGTACCAGCTTCTCCCTTTGGATCGCATCCAGCGCCGAGCGGCTCGAATCGTTGACGACCAGGACCTTTCCGATCAGCTTGATCCTTTGGCTTTGCGTAGGGATGTAGCTTCGCTCTGCATCTTCTATCGCATTTATCACGGGGAGTGTTCTCAGGAATTGTTCGGATTAATTCCAGCTGCTGCATTTCGCCATCGTACATCGCGACAAAAATTTCATCCCCATCATCTTGATGCGTGGCTATCCACAACCGTGCGTTTTTGTCGAAATTTTTTACCACGTACGACAAAACTGTGGAATATGTTGTCGCCAGCAGTGTTTTCGGACCGATACGACCCAAAAACCATCAAAAAAAGGGCGTACTCCTTCCTTAAAGGCCGGCATCGCATTTGTGATACTCCTGGTGTTGCAAGTGTCCATGGGCGACGGTGATCACTTACCATCAGGTGAGCCGTCTGCTCGTATGCCCCCTATAACATAAAAAAAATGTCATCTCTTGAGCAGAGAAAAACTTAAAAAGTAAATAATAATTTTGTCATGATTGGAAATAGGCAAACAAAAAGAAATACTTATTTCAGTTCAATAATTGGGTCGGAATGAAATTTTTAACCAGGTATTCCAAAGTACTTACGAGACCGATGTACCTATTCATTATATTTTCCTATTTTCACTATAACTTCCCGTATACACTTTGTAAACAGAATCAATCACCAAACCTACTTTCGTAAAGCCGCAGAGCCACAATCTGCTGAGTATTCCGTGACACTCGCAATAACAACACACCATGTCCAAACTATTCAGAGTGTCCAAATTCTTATATTGAGGCCATAGAACAAGAACTAATCCTGGCATTATGCAAATCTTGTCACAAAGTTAAAAGATACGCATGCGCGGTAGATAGACTTAAGACTGCGCTCGCTCACTGCGCTTTGCACCGCAAGTAGGTAGGAAGGTATTCAACGGCGGGAGCGGTCATTGCTCCCGGCCGCCCGTCTTCCGTTTTTATTACGTTTATTTTAGTAGTGCTTATTAGTTGTTTTTTACTTACCCCGTATGCGTGTTTAAAAAGAATAATTATTTAGTATCCAAAAGGAGGAAAGGACTTAAAATAAAACAAAAAAAAATATATATAAAAAATTCCCAAAAAAATCAGAGATCTATATATTGTTGGGTTACATTTGTATAGAGTATGCCTGATATTTTTCGGATTTTATAAAATTATTTTTTTCGTTTTTTATTATTTTATTTGGTTATTTTTTGTCATTACTTCCTTATGAGTAATTATTTATTTTAAACACGTCTACATAGAAGTTGTAAAACAACTTAAAATAAGCACTCCTAAAAAAATGGAAACTTAATGAATGCCTCCAGTCGAGATCAGCGCCGGGAGCAACGACCTACGGCCACCTGTGTAGGTACATAATACACGCACAGATGACTCGGCGCTTACCTACTTTCCGCGTTGATTCCACACGATTTAAAAACATTACAATAAAATAGTCTTAGATGCTATATTATAATTATTTATTCACTGATACACAATACCTTTAAATATTATTTCATAAAGCATAGGTATTAATCAATAAAATAAATCTTCTGTTAGAGCAATTAAAAATCCTATAAAGTTAATATGACTGTCACGATTTTAAATCGGTAAAGCCTGTCTGTTAGTGTAAGAACTTCTTTTTTATTGTTAATGTTAGTCGCTTTGTTTAATTAAAACTTAGAGCAAACGGCTTATTTAAAATTGGGAAAAATCATACAGTGCAAATCGGTATAAATTACGAGCTTAGTGAAGGAAGGAACTCTTCGTGACTGATTTTCCCACGTCATGAAATTCCGAACACATTTAGTCACAGTCACACACACACACATAAGAATATGTTGTTTTGCGGCAAGCACGGGCGGGCGGCGCGCCGCACGCTAGCAAGACACGTGCAACGCTAGATAGCGCGCGGTGCTTTGCTTTGATTGCAATGATGCATGCAAAGCGCAGTCGCACGTATATCAATCGCGCGTGCGCATCTTTTGACTTAGTGACAAACACTGTGATAATTTCATTATGCCTTGGTATACGAACCAAGAATATTTAGAGATGGTGTACTGCTATCGCGAGAGTGACGAAGTTCTCAGTAGAGCCGCAAGGCTTTACAAAGATAGGTTTGGTTTACGAGTGAGTCCCCAAACTATAGAAGTTGCATTTTGTGCAGTGAGTAGCGATAGGGACACTTAAAAAAAAGGTGGAAAGACACGTCCGCAAACGTGCCTACCATTGTTTGCAGCAAAATGGTGGTTTAGTGCAACAATTTTGCAGATAATAATTTAAGTCTCTTTTATTGCTAGTGTAAATACTTTTTGATTTGAAACAACTAATTAGTCTACTACTTGTGTGTTTGATTTGATAAAAAGTTCTAGCGAAAATAATGAATATGTTCCTCGTTGTACCTACCTACATCGCCGGTCTCGTAAGTAATGTCTAATACCTAGTTATAAATTTCTTTCTGACCCAATATTAAACTGCAATAAGTATTTGTTTTTGTAACAAAATTATTATTAACTTTTTAGGTATTTTTCTTTGCTAATGAGAAGATAGCACTTGTTCTTTATTTAAATAAATTTGTTATTGTAATATGGCATCTAAGGCCCGTATAATAGAACGCTCTCAACTCTTGAGAGCGATCTTGAGATGCTGTTTTGCATGAACACAGTATCTCAAGGTCGTAGTCTCTGAATTGAGAGCGATCTATTAATACGGGCCTTTGACGATTTTACTGTACTGTACTGTAAATACCTACACGCCGCGTCAGCTGTGCGCGGTCGTTGCTCCCGCGGCGTCGGCCTCGCCTGGCCGCATCTACTTTTTTTTGTTTATTTTAGTAGTGCTTATTTATTTGTTATATTTTACTTATTATGAATACGTGTTTAAAAATAATTATTACTCAAAAGGAGGAAATGACATAAAAATGCACTATTAAAAACAATAAAAAACGAAAAAAAGAATTTAAAAATCAGGCATACTCTATACACGTAACCCAACAATCTCACGAAGTTTCATTAAATCATTTAATTTCACGCTATATATGTCTCTATGATATAAATATAAGAAGACATAATAAAGATATTACACCTTCATTATGGGTTTTGATGAATCTCACTTCGAATATTGCACACAATCAATTTGCGTACATTTCCAGTCAATTTTGCAATTGCACACTTTCTTCCCAATTGAGTTGTTTGCTTGTCGATAGTTCAAAGACTAATGACCCAATTAAGACAAGACTTGGTATTTATACTATTTATTCCTCTTCAAATCTAACCCTTGCAGTCCCACTCCATTCAACTGATTTCTTTTCATATTCCTTCTCTGTGCATTGTTTGCTTGTGAAACTCACTACCTGAAACAATCCGAAAGGCACAATCGCACTCTAAGCTCGTTTAGTGATCAAGTAAGAGGTTATTTCCTTTCCCAACTTTAAGTCTTACCTCTCACTGTTGTCTCTCTCTTTGTATATATCTATTGCATCTATTATTTATTATTTATTTTACCATACCTGTTACAGCCCCCCCCCCCCCCCCCCCCCCGTCTTGTTCCTCTTATTTATTTATTTCACTGTTATGGGTTGCCTGGAAGAGATTGCTGTTTAGCAATAAGGCCGCCTATGGTGTACGTTTTCACTGTCATGTTTAATGTGTTGTATGTCCTGTGAGGTGTATGTCAATAAAGAATATTATTATTATTGCGTGGCTGAAGTCGTGGCCACCCCGATAATTACCTATTTTTATCATCTATCCGCCCATTCCGCGAACTGAAAAACGCACCCTCTTATAATGGAAATATCTTTATCATCATCATCATCCTATTTACGCACAGGCCTTCCCTATGAATGGAATAGGGAGATTGCGAGCCTGACCCACCACGCGGGCCCAGTGCATATTGGTGGGTGCTAACGACTGCAGATGCAGGCAGGACCAATGGCTTCACATGCCTTTCCAAACACGGAGGAGCTCGAGATAAAAGTTTTGGGTCACCCATCCAATGACCGACCATTACAAAAGTTGCTTAACTTCCATAAAATTTCCTGAGATCAGCTTCCGCATCGATCATCCGATGTGATCTCTACTAAAATGTTTTATGCATCAGTAAGATTACAAATCCAAAGCTTTCTTTCGCTCACATATAAATAATTATTCTTATGGAATTATGATAATTTATTTAATTAATTATTATCTGTCTGTATATACAATTTATAAAATTACCTACACAATAGTGATCTGCATACAAAATTTACTTAGTGCACCCTTTCAACTGAAATGAGCTACAAGCAATTCACACTCACATTAAATTTTCACATTCACAATTCAAACTATTTTAATATTTATGTTCCCAAATATTTACAAAACGTGATAAAATTATAGTAGCAAAATAATTAACTGGTGAAAATACAGGTGATCAACAAACCCTACACTGTAAATTACAGACTATTTTGGGAACTCAGAACTATTTAAGTGCACAAGGCTTATCGAAGAACTGGTAGGTATGTACTTTTTTACAAGATTACAGTACTTTAACCATAATAAATGTGTATGTATAAAATATTTTGATACAGTAAACCTCAAGATAAAGATTTAAAGAATTTTTCTACTTTTCCTAACAAATATTTATAGTAACTACATCATTTCATACAGAAAGTCAATTCATTTGTTAATGTTACAGTTACAATACATCAAATTTGGAATCAATTATAATTACTATATCTAATAATTGTAATAAAGCCAGCTGACCTACCAGCATGTTTGAAATAATCGTTAATCATGCTCTATGAGTATCATGGAAGCCAGATACATCCAATTTGGATCAGTAGGTAATACCCGGGCTACACTCTCGCGTCATGAGAGCGATGCGAGCTTGCCTGTATATTTCGCGTGGCTAGTTTACAGTATATTACGCAAGCAACGTGTCTTCGAATTGTGCTATCGTTGACATGTTGAAGACTGGACTGTGTTGTTTTTGTTTGCACCGTTAAACTTAGCGTTCATCATCATCTCAAAACATTAAATCCCATGCTTTAGTCCAGCAAAATTGTGTTCCACAACACGCGTAATTGTGAAGTTTGCACAGTCCTGTTTGCACATTCATACATATTTGCGAGCGCGACATGAAGCATAGGTAATTGTCATTTAAATATGCCAGAATATAGAAAATGCGATCCGATCAGCGGGCATGGCCGCGAAGTTATTCCCCGCCGGAATAACTTTGCAGACTGGAGCGTAAGTTTGCTCCCAATATTCCAGTGATAGTTATGATGCTCTGAGGCTTTGACGAGTCAGTGATTGATTGTAGAAAAGCAGCATTACCGCGCGTCAAAATCCCGCTGGCGTATTCTGAACTTGAATGTGGACAGCTTCCACTAAGCGAGAGAAATTACATTTAATCTACCCAAGCTTGAGCTGGTTGGTCTGTTGTGAATGGACTGACACCATTACGTTCCATGGCATCCAAGACTTCACATACGTATGCAGCAACATCAACTCTACTTTGATCAATACCTTTGATGAATGGATGCTCCAACAACTTGTTATACTTAGGACGTTGGGTTTCTTCTTTGATCAAACTGAAATATCAAGCAAGCTCTCATTGTAATTAGAATCTCTAGCTATTAGATAATACCTAGATAGGTAGGTATGTGGTAATATGATTGCCTGATTTAAAAATTCATTTTTATGTGTTTTAGGACGACCTAGAGGTAATACAGACTGAAGCGGAAAGTGATTCTATTTTATACTATGCAAAGATATAGATAACTCACCATGTGTTTACAAAGTCAACAAAATTGTTGGAGAATGTGTTATTGTTATTTGTTAAGCGTGGTGGGTCACCTTGCACTACTTGCTGCAATTGTTCAAATACAGACCCCCAACGCGGGTAGGGAAATGCACCTGTAGCTACTTCCATCAATGTGATGCCTAGTGACCATACATCAGATCGCACATCATAACCCCTAGCTCGACCGGGGTCTATTCTTTCTGGCTGGAAACACACGTAAATGCAATTATAATACTAAATAACAGTGACAAGTGAAATGTTGCACAAAGGGCAAAGCATCTACTTACTGCCATATATGGTCTACAACCAGCATCCCGTGTACGGGCAATTGAGTCCACCAGCTTACCAGAGATACCAAAGTCACACAGTTTTATATTGCCTTTTCGATCTAACAGGATATTTGATGGTTTTACATCTCTATAAAGAAGCAAAGAAATATACTGGACTTTGATCAATCTGAACAAAGTTTTATAAGGGGCCATCCATAAATTACGTCACACTTTAAGGGGTAGGGAGGGGGTCGACCAAATGTGACATCGTGTGACAAGGGGTGGGAGGGGTCCTAAATTTCGTGACGTCACATTTCAAAATATATTAAAATCTAAGTGTTGAAACTATTACTTTACGAAAGCATTAACAACCCAAACGAGAACAAAGTGGTGCTATGCCAGTTATAAATAATTTAAAGGAGTGGGATCAATGTCCATGGACTCAAGATTATTAAGTTTGTATCTTTAATTTAATTATAATGCTATTAATATTTTATGTTTTGTTAATTTCTTTAATTAACATAGTCAATCACTTTTTGTTCGGTAATTTTTTTGTTTTGTTAATTGTTTGATTTAATTATAATAATAATGAAAAACCAATTTAAATGGAAATAAAACTGATTACAGAACCGCTGTTTTCATTCAATGATTTCTAAATGTAAATTTGCAAAATATGTGACGTCACACTAGGGAGGGGGGGAGTCTTACAAATGTGACCAGCTGTGACAAGGACGGGGGGAGGGGCAAAAAAGACATGAAATTCGTGTGACGTAATTTATGGATGACCCCTAACATTATGATCCTAATTTTTTTTAAATAAAATAAAAAATATTAATTGTAAGATTTACTTGCCTGTGTATTATTTTCAATTTTTCCTTCAAATAATTCAAAGCTTTCACTGTAGCAAGTGTTACTTTAGCTATAATATTTTCTGGTATTCGAGTTTGCATTCTTTCACATATAAATTTATAAAATTTGTCTAATGAAGTATCCATTAATTCCATACAAATCCAGCAATCACCCTAAAAATTTATGAATGTAAAATTTGCTGAGCAGTTTGTAAAATTTATGACCTTATATAGAGTATGTACTTACTTCTTTAAATAATGCTCCATAAAACTCCACAATGTATGGGCAATCATTGCTTTTCATAACTACTTCAAGATCCATCAATAACTGTTTCTGTTCTTTTTCATCTACGGTAGAACGTATGCGTTTCACAGCCATTACTTTATTTGACCTAGAAATAGTAATAATTTACAACTGTTCTTTTATCCTAATATCAATAATTACAGCGTGAACTCAAGCAGCATGATAAATCTGCTTTTAGTAGCACATGTAAACCCTATAAAAATAACTATCATAATAAATGGCTAAATTGCATTTTTCCTGTATTTTTTATGCATGAAATATTCACTCTTCTTACTTTCTATGTTCCATCTTATTAACAGCACCAAATGCACCTCTTCCTATCTCACCAAGGTCTTGTAAGTCATCCGCTGTGAAATCATACACCTCTGTTGCTGATAACTGCAATTTGCCAGATGACTGCATAGATGGATATATCCTACAACGGTCTCTAAAATAAACAATATGAAAATACATTTAAAAGATTTTAAATAAATGAATTTGAATAAAGTATAAATTACATTTCATATTACTTAAATATTAACTGTTTTTTGTTAGACTGGCATCATTTAATAATGTTTGCAATAATTATAATAAATTTATTTTAAAGCAACGACTCAACATTCTTGTTAGTATAAATTTAAATGCAATGACTGTAATAAATTAACCTGATTTGTGTTACTTAAGGACTTAAAATACATTCAGCAAACATTACCTCGCATTTTCAGGCAAGACATCCCTGATGCTACGGGATGGCACACGATTTCTGGGTACAGTTACGGTATTTGTAGTAAATGGGACAAATGCTGCATTACCACCACTGGAAGGACCTCCTAGTTGTAGATCTAACACTCTACGTCTTTCTGTAGGAATTAAATTCAAATCTGGTCTAGGCAAACTCGGTCGACTAGAGCCTGTAACGGAAGTGAAATTTACATAATTGACTAAATAAAATAGAGGTTACAGGTACAGGAGTAATTTATAATACTGTGTGAGCAGTGTAGTGTTAAAGTTTTTACCTTGATTTGATGTCACTTCGCCATTTCTCGACATTTTTGTTCTTGAGTTAATTATCGATCCTATGATTCTGACTATTCTTTGGTACAGAAGATAACTTCTGAACAATCCATTTGAAAATTATAACATCGAAACTAGTCACGTTTTTAAGACAGTACTTGCGAAAAATACATTTGCCTGGTGCATTGTATTTACACAATCGCCAAACGACATCACTTTGACATTTTTATGACATTTGTTTACAGAGTTGCGTTCCGACAACGCAACTTAGGTTAAAGGTGCGTTCAGTCCACGCTATTAGCTATATCTAAATTATAACTCATAGCACGCGCACCATACATGGATGGAGAGAGTAGACTCGCACCGCGTGTGTGTTTGGACCGCACTACGCCGCCGCGCACGGATCCCCAACTACCCCAAAAAAATTGAAAGTTTTTTGACTTCGGAATTATGGCGCCATACCGTGCCAGCGGAGACTGCTGCTAGGCCAGAATCGCGCAGGCGTAGCCCCCGGTTCGCAGCATGGCTGACCAGCCAACCCCGAGCCAGCGTTTTAGCCCGATTGATCGAGGCATCATCACCGCGCATCAAATAATATTTCACGTCACGATGGTATTTCGGATCGTCTATTGCGGCATGTTTTCGGACAGGCTGAACCGCTGCCCCTACGTCCGTCTGTTGGAGTTTGAGTTGGGCGATACACGCGTCCTCTGCTCAGCCGACGAGATAGCCATGGAGGCGTTGCAGGCACTTAGCAGCTCGCCGCTCGTGCTTTCACCTTCCGCCTAGCCTCAACCTCGCAAACGCCGCCTCAACACCACGCGCCGCCACCCAATACCGAAAAAAAGCGGACTGCACTACCGACACAGTCAGCGGTAACCCACGCGCAGGCACAGCTCCCACGGCCCAACGGGTGCAGAAATACCGCCGCTAGTGATCGAGCATCTGCCGGAGTGGCCCATGCACAGGCGCGCCCTCCTCGACGCCCTTGGTACGCACGCACGCCCATTTGGTGCGGGCGTCCGTTTCATGCCAGCAGACGGCGATGAGTACCGCCTAATCCAAGCTTACCTCTATAAACTGGAGGGGCAGAGCGGGTTGAGCTGGTACTCATACGCCCTCACCGAAGACCGCAGCCTTAAGGTGGTCATACGAGGGCTGCCTTACAAAACGCCGCAGGAAAAACCACCGAACCAGGGACAAACAGTCGTCTGATGCGGCCCCCGCCGCGCCGCCCCGTCACCCAGAAATGACACCGAAACGGCCCAAGATCCGCCACCGCCCACACAAGACGAAACGATTCGCTTGCTGCTCCAGTTCTCGGACCTGCTGACGGACTTTGTCAAAAAGTTTGGGTAGGCCGGGAAAAGAAAAAACAAAGATGCCCCCGCCCCGGACAAGAATCTATCCCCTCGCGATAAGTCCTTAGTCCGCTCGCAGGTCCGAACCGAGGGCGACGTGTAAAGAAGTGGAGAGGGGGGTACGGTACGACCCCCAACATGTGAATGAGGGATACCGTTTTCTGTATCACCAGATGGCGCCATTGTTGAGTGAGGTCCTGAATTGTAACTTGTTAAGTTTAGTGAAATCAAAGTTTACATTTAAAACATATTTTAATACAAAAGAACTATATCCTAAACATAATCGGCCATGCCATTGACGCGCAGTTCCGTTTTGTTTGGAAAAAAGGAGGACATAATAAATTTTCTAAGCTCCGCTGTTAAATAACTGACATTCATTGCCACGTAACTCATATTTGCCATATTTTAGCCGAGCTATTACCTCACGCTACGCTAGCACGATTCGACGAGCCGCAGATTCATACGCGATAGCCCACCACATTGAGCTCAAGGAAATTATTATTATACAGTTTGTCTATAAAGTCGTGACATTAAATGATGGCGCCACTAGTATGTATGTAGCAACCCTATACAGTCGGACCAAAATGATTTTGATACTAGCAGTTCATTCAAGTAAAATAGGTAATTAATAAGACACACTATACAGTCGTATTTTGTTTCTGTTTTATATTTAGTAGGTACTTATGCTTATAAAAAGTTTAGCCAAGCATATTTAATTGAATCAGAATAAAATTATTATAGATAAAATAGAACTTTATAGTGTAAATGTTGGTGATTACCGCTGAGGTGCCATTAAGACCAGAGCCGTTAGGTAATCATCAATAGACACAAGTATCATCATACGACGTTTTTTATTAAGAAAATAATACTAAAAATCATTTTATAGTATATAAAAGTTTCTTTAGAGAAACAATTTGTAAATGTGCAGTTAGTAAAATTAGTGATAGGTATCTTCACTAAAAGCATCTGGCCATGGTTCTTTATGTGACCATTTCTTTCTTTGGTCGGCCTTGCCTGTTTTCCCAGGAGTTTCAAACTTTCCATCATTCTTAAAACCTTCGTTGACTATCCGACTCTCTGATTTTCCTGAAAAAAGTAAAAAAATATGTAACGGAATAGAAACAATAACTTATTGACATGAAGCAATTAATTTAAAATTGGTAGAAAACCTGACCGAGTTGAACCATAATAACGTATCAAAAGAAATGGTCGTACTACAATATTACCTATTTACAAAATCTAACTAACCTAAAAATGTGCAGTGTAAACAATGCCTTTTTTGGTCTCAAAATCGTAAATTGAGTAAATTTGTAACTTCAGGGAGATTACAAACAAATAGTTAGACGATTACATACCCGTCATAGATGCTGTTCGCCCATAAACATCGTCCAAATCCCACAAAATTCGTCCAGCTTGGTAGTCTTCGAAACATCGTTGGAAAACTTTAAAAATGACTTCCCGCGTGCCACTCCGATTTACTTTACTCATTTTTATACCTTTCTGCGTAAAAGTTTCGTCTTAATTTATTACAGTTTAATCCAAAAAATAAAAAATACAAAAGGAAAACTGTTCCACAACTGAAACTCGATGACAGCTGATGTACATTAGTTTGGTGTTGCCAGAAACATGAATAATGATAGTTCCTCAAACATTAATGTCACGACTTTATAGACAAACTGTACATGTTTAAGAGAGACAGATGTTTTTAGTTTTAAGTCTATAGAATCATACCAGAATCGATACCATTATTGTGTAATCACATTTTAGTTTCTCAAATTTCTGTAATCTATGATGCAATGTTTGATCTGTGGTCTGTGGTGTGCACCAAAACTTGGCTTAAAAAGGACTAGAATCCAGAGCCGTAAAAAATATTAATAAAAAAAAGTGGGCTGTAAGGGTGCGGCCAGAGTGCACTAAGATTCAGATTCCGAAAACAAGCGCGAGAAATAAACAGTGTAGTCGAAGGGTACGGCCAGAGTGCACTCCTGATTCAGATTCAGAAAACAACTCTGGCCATACCCGTACTCTAGGCCGTACCCTCAGATATGTGTCGTTTCGTGAAATTGAAGAAACGTAACGTAACCAGTTATTTCTATATCGTCACTAGTTTTGAAACGAGTGATTTTTCGTAACCAGTTATTTGTTCAAGTGGTATAACAATAAACTTATCCATAAAGTCTGCATCTATCAACGTAAATATGTCACTCATGAATGTGTACCCTACACTGTAGCTAGCCACAGTTATTCAGTTATCGGGACTTAGTCACAAAATTTTAACAAGTTTTACATATTTTTTTGTATAATAAAACTTTAATTGATTAAATGAACTTTCTTTTAAATTTAAATTTGATACTTTATCCAGGATTAGGACTGACTGCATTAACTAATGGTAGGTAAGATAATTATATAATGCAGGCGTATTTAAAAGTTCATTCTATACAATTATTTGAAATATTTACAATATTTTACAGTTATTTACACATTTTTCACAATACGTTAATTTATAAGTTATTTAAATTTTAATGGTTTCTCCCTATTTACACCTTTTGTAACTAGGACTTTACAATCATTCTCTGTTCTTTTTGTCCATTAGATTACGAGATATAAATAACTCGTGACGGGGCGGTCGGTGTCGTTACCTACCATCCCTACTTGGCTGGCGCTTTTCGAATAACGCAGGTGTTGAACGTAGCTACGTTTATAACCAGTTATAAAAAATCACAGGTTTATTGTTCGAGCCGTAACTAGTAGAATCAGTAACAGGCTGCGTAACCAGTTATTGAAAGCAGATTACGTTAAATAACGCCCATACCTAGGCTGTATGGACTCAGAATCCTTTGCCCATCCCAACAGGGACAAATTAAACAAACAAAAAAAAGTGCACCGAACCCACGTGCCTATGTTTTTATTGTGATATATTTCTGAATCAATGAATTAATATTTAAAATCTCAAAACTATGGCAAGCTGTTTAAAAGACGAGTAAGATATCATCATTAATTTTATATTTTTCTAAAATTATTAGATTTTGCAATAGCAAAGGGATGTCAATAATTTCATCAAAGGCATTTCATCATTAATGTAAAAATCTTTCTTTCTAGGTTTGATAAAATAGCCGAGTATGATGCCTTCTATACTGGTGGTGACATACACCTTACTATTGATGGAGTACATCTTCTTTGCCTGTGTGAGGATGTTGTGAAAGTTGTAGATGTCAATACAGTATCCACTGTGCTTATAATCGGTAAATCTGATGAAAATGTAGAAATTGATCAAATCAATACATTTCAACTGTCCAACAACAATGAAGTAGTAGTGACAGCACATAAAAGTGGGTTGATGAAATTGTGGGATAAGGAAACTGGAAAGCAAAGGAAAATGTGGAGATCAGGCCACAAAGGTCCAGTTGCTCGTTTGGCATTTGACTCTACAGATGAAAATATAGCTTCAGGAGGGTCGGATGGTAACATACGACTATGGGACTTTGATCATAATATGTGTACCAGTAGTTTGCGAGGAGCTGTAGGTGTATTTTCAATTTTAAAATATCATCCTGATGCTAGCAAAGAATTAATATTTGGAGCTGCCGATGATACTAAAATAAGATCATGGAATTCAAAAACAGGAAAAGAAAGTATGATATATTCTGGACACTTCAGTAAAATAACTTCCATTCAGTTCACATCAGATGGTGAATACATGATTAGTTCAGGTAGGGATAGAGTACTGATTCTTTGGAAAATAAATGAAAGCAGTGCTATCAGAGTGATACCAGTCTATGAAAGTATCGAAGCTTGTATATTGTTGCCACTGTCATTTAAAATTCCAAATTTCAAGAAGAAAATAGGAATGGATGGCATTTATGTAGCTTGTGCAGGAGAAAAAGGTATTGTAAAGATTTGGAATATGGAGAAGAGTAGATTGATGTATGAGCAGGACAATAGCTTAGTATCACCTTCACACGAAGAAGGTGGTCTTGCAATCACCAATTTATTATTTAATGAAGCGAGAAATACTCTGTCTGTTGTTACAGTTGATCATAATATTATAGTTCATGATTTAGAGTCTTTTGCTTGTATAAAGCAAATGGTTGGGTTTACAGATGAAGTTTTAGATATAATATTCATTGGCAAAGATGAAAGTCATATTATTGTAGCTACAAATAGCCAAGATTTGAAATACTATGAATTTGATAGCATGAACTGTCAGATTATAAAAGGACACACAGATATAGTTCTAGCATTGGCAAAATTTCCTACAAAACCAGAATTATTTATTTCTTCAGGGAAGGACAATAGTGTGAGAATATGGCATTGTATTGAGACCAATAAAGTATTATGTATAGGTGTTGGTACCAGACATACTGCTTCTGTAGGATCTGTGTTCACTTTTCAAACAACTCATATGTTTTTTGCTTCAGTAAGCCAAGATAATTGTTTGAAAGTTTGGTCAGTTCCAGCCGAACTGACCTGTGCTGATCAGAAAATAAAATCAAGTCACACTGAGCTAGCTCATCAGATGGATATAAATTGTGTCACTGTATCACCAAATGACAGTATGATTGCCACTGGTTCGCAAGATAAAACAGCCAAGTTGTGGACAAAAGACTTGAAATTGTTAGGTGTGTTACTAGGTCATAGAAGAGGAGTATGGTGTGTTAGATTTTCTCCAGTTGATCAAGTTGTCCTTACTTCTTCAGCTGATTGTTCCATTAAATTGTGGTCAATATCTGATTTGAGCTGCTTGAAAACTTTTGAAGGTCATGAAAGTTCAGTTTTGAAAGTTGAATTCCTTAGTAGAGGTCAGCAAATATTTTCCTGTGGTGCTGATGGTCTCCTTAAACTATGGAATATTAAATCATCAGAATGTAAAATGTCTTTAGACAATCATGATGGTAAAATCTGGTCCCTATCTGTTAATAACAATGAAAATATTATAGTTACAGGAGGGTCTGACTCCAAATTAGTTAAATTAAAAGATGTCACAACTGAACGTCGTGACAGGCTGGTGAAAGAAAAGGAACAGTTTATTTTACAAGAACAAGAATTGATGAATTTATTACATGATAAAAAAATGGTCAAAGCACTGAAATTGGCACTACGCATGGAACGACCTTTACATGTCTTAAAAATAGTCAATGATTTAGTAAAACATGGAAATGAAAAGCTTTATGAAACCCTTAAGGAAATCAACAACACACAAAAGGAAAAACTTTTAAATTTTGCTTCTGAATGGAACACAAACAATAAAAACTGTCATGCTGCTCAAATTGTATTTAACATACTATCACCAGAGATTCTTAGTGGCAATCTAAAGGTGTCATCTCTTGGGAGTTTTATAGAAGGTGCACTGCCTTATACAGAAAGGCATTTTGAACGTTTAACAAATTTATTACAAGACCTACATTTTATTACATATACTGTAAACTCCATTCAACCACATACAATAAAACAGAAAATGTAATTTATAATAAAGATTTAGTATAATTACCTTTTTGTTGTATTTACCAATGACGACTTAAATGATTCAACCTGATCCCGTGACGCACAAAGTGTGTTAGTACACTATTTGTCTTGTTACAAGCTGCTATAAAGTACGTAAAAGCTCGACTCGAGTGCAGGTAAACTCAGGCGGCCGCTCATCCGTTTTCCACGGAAAATAGCTAGCCGACCGACGCGAGCGCATAAAGCAGTATTAGTGAAACTACCTTGCGCGACGGACCGGTCGTGGCCCATGCTAGCGACTTGCACTCGATGTTTATTAGTACAAGATGACTTTAAATATATTGTTCGTGCTGTTTATACCGTTAGTTATAATAGTTGCTGCACAAAAATCGCAACAGTAAGTATCATTTAAATTTTCTCTATCGCTTTATTGATTTTATTCAATTAATAAATAACATGACTATTAGACAAAAAAAAATATGTGTTCAGAAGATGATATAAACTCCTTAATCCTATAATCCGTGAGAATTCTGGTTGCTCAAAGAAGTCAACCCTATTTTATTTATCTTATTATTTCTAAGGTTCAGGGTGGATATATAGCTCGATTAATTATTTTTACTTTTCATTGTATGATTGGTCCTTATTTTTTCATTAATATCATTATCTAGATAGGATAAAGTCACAGTGGATAAACAAACTGAGTAGTAAGTATGAACAGGATTTACAATTTACGAAGAGTTCTAATAATACAATAGGTAATAGAGTTGCTTATAAGGACTGGAAGTACGTTATGCTACAATCGATGATCCATTTTGTCACTTATCATCACTAATAAGGTCAACATTGGCGAATCCTTTATGTTATGATGGTACCTTTATTTTTGTTAATGTATTTATTAAGCTTGGTTACCTACTTAACTATTTAAATGTACTTCCGATAGAGTAGTAATGTAGGTAATGTTCCTAGTCTCTTACCTACTAGGTAGGTACTACACTACTTTTGTGCTCCGTATCTTTGTTTTAAATAGGTACGCGGGTTACAAACAATTAAGAAATAATGCTTACATATTATTTACTTAGGTCTTTAATACATTCACATTAACATTTTGGTGTGGGTCATGCTGCCATGCCAACACAAGAAGGAAAATAGTTTAGTGTATATATATATATATTAGGTATTTTTTGGCCTTAAAATGTACTTTAGTTAAGTAGGTAAATAAAATATACTTAATAAATAAAATAAATATGTATTTCATACTCTCACATCAAGTAGCCTAACCTTAACTTTGGAAACACTGAATATATTAATATATATATAGTGGTGGTCATACTAAGGCCCGTATTACAGAATGAAAACTAAGTGTTGATCAGGGTTGGATTTAGGTATGTTGAAAAAGATAGCACAAAAAAATGAAAAGGATAGTATTTATAAAAAAAATATAGTACACTTTCATTATTTTTTATTTAACATATAATCACACTAATATTATAAAGGCGAAAGTTTGTGAGTGTGTGAGTGTGTATGTTTGTTACTTCTTCACGTCTAAACGGCTGGAGTGATTTTGATAAAAAATGGTATGGAATTAGCTGACACCCTGTATTAACACATAGGCTACGTTTTACTGCGGGAAAATATCCTTAATAAACTGCGGGTAACACCGCGGGGCACAGCTAGTAGTAAATAAAATAGACACCCGTTACGGCAAAATTTCCTCCTCTTATAAGTTTATGAGTTCTTGAATATTACTATTAGTTCTATCTTCATCCTTGGCATTTCATCTCATCAACATATTATCCTTAGTAGGAATAAAATCAGTACAATTTTCACTTTTGCTACCGCTTTTGATGCCACTTTCCATAATTAAAACACTGAAAACGTACTATTTTACATAAAAACTCGCAAGCGATTATTAAAACATTGAGCAAACTTTGATTGAGTTTCCAATGGAATGGAAGGGACGAGATAAGTAGAAAGAGAGGAGTGTACTGCGGAGGATAAACGGGGAATCCCCGGCCAAAAACACAGCAAACATCGCAAGATCAGAATTCGGTTGGATACACGCACGGTCGAAATATTCAAAATATGACGTAAAACTAAGCATTCGGGAGCAAACTTTTATTATAGTATTTAAGCGTACTATCCTGAGATATGGATAGTATATAGTACAAAAGGCGAAATTATAGTTTAAATACTATAATTATAGTACAAAATCCAACCCTGGTGCTTAGATTAAAACAAAAAGGGTAGATACGGCACTAACCTCACAAAAGTGATCCGCACCAATTGTGGTCCACGACCCTAATCGCTTTAGTCACAACTTGACATGCAAAGGACGTACATATATGTGAACGCCAAAAAGAAATATTGCTAATATTTTGTGTTTATATGATAAAACAATGCCTAAGTGTGTTTTTAAAAAGTGCTCAAATTGCTCAAGAACTAAAAATAAAACCCACGGCATCACTTTTCATTCGAAGTACTATAAAATATATTTTTTCATAAAAATTGCTGTTTGTTTTGAATCTTATTCGGTTATGTCGAGTACTGGTCGCGTGATTGGTCGGTAGTGCAGTGACGCGGATCTCGCCGTCTCGTTCTCGCTGCCGTTGAAACTTAACGTGCTGTTTCGTTCGGGTCGGTAATGCAGTGACGCGGATCTCGCCGACCTGTTCGCACTACCGTGGGATCAGTTTTTGTTTGATGCAAGTATGAGCGTAGCGTATCTACTCTTTTTGTTTTAATCTAAGGTATTTATACGATTTTGCGCCATTTCACATAATTATTTTTTCGTGTTCATTATCAAATTACAATATGGAATGGGGTGTTATACCTCGTTCATAATTATAATTGCCGGCAATAATTCCCTAAATATTGCTGCGGCATCATTGAGAGAAGTACGTGTTTACATACTGCCCTACCTCTCACTTCGCTTCAGAGTTTCGGCAATGGCAGACGTCGAAGTAATAACAGCGGCCGCGCTTTGCCTTTTTGCAATCCATAATTATGTTCGAAATTAAAATAATTAATAATTTTAATATGAATAAATTATTAATTAATATTTAATTAATTAATGATTTTTAATTTCATATCTTTCTCCACCAAGCGCGTGGCGCGAACTAAGCGGCGCGCAGAGTGTGAACACGCATTGCCACTCGCGCTGCCGCCGGTCCTTTGACTTCCGCACAAAAAACCGCTCTTTTGGGGAGCGCCGGGCAGAGCGAGTGGCAATGGCAGTGGCATGACGAGTATCGTGTTTACATACTCGTCATGCCCACTTCCCTCCTTACTCGCGCTGCATATAAACAGAAAATAGGATTGCAGTGATCGCCTTGCACAAAGTGGGTGTGGAGCCGTCGGTCATATTCCAGACCCTTCAAATGCTTGGTATCAGCCGTATGGTCGTGTATTTCAAAAGATACAACAACACTTCTTTTGTCGAAAACCAGAAAAGATAGGGACGGCCGCGTGCTGTTAGAACTACAAAGGCTGTTAATGCTGTTAAAGCCAAAATTTTCCCAATCCCATTAAGCAGAAAATCTTATTGCGAGAAATGAAGATTCCTGCTAGGACTCTGTCGCGGATCATAAAACAAGACCTAAAGCTCGGTGCTTATCGTCGATATACAGGACATGCCCTATATCAATCTTTCTAATTAAAGAGAGTGGATCGATCAAAACGCCTTCTGCCGCGATACGCAGGTGAAAAGCACAGAAATATCCTCTTTATCGATGAAAAATTTTTGACGATTGAAGAACACTACATTAATCAAAATGATAAAGTGTTACAGTCTTGGATCACGTGGTGAAACCTCTCAGCAATAGACAGGACTTTCCAGCAGGATTCTGCCCTTGGCCACAAGGCACGAACTACTCAAGCCTGTCTTGAAACCAACTTTCTTTATAAGAGCTGAAGACTAACCATCATCTAGCCCAGACCTCATGGTCAGTTTTAGAGGACATGGTCCTGGACCTGCTCCAAACGTCGATAACCGAAGCAATCCCGATAGGCGGTACCGGTAGGTCCCAAGAAGACCATAATGAAATAACACAGCTTTTTGGTGTTGTGTTTCTGTCGATGAGTAAAGTTCCAGGGCTCCCCGGGGTAGGGGATGGGGCCAAGGTAGGCAACGGCCCGTGATATTTTTAGTTTCCATGGTAAGGTTGCTTTCCCAGACGGGCGTTCCAATTCGAGCGGGATCCGCCATGCCCATCTTCTCTGAAAACAACAATATTGAATTAATATAATATAGACCTAGTACCTATAGAAAACAGCTTACTAACCTGAGTTATTATTATATTAAGCTTATTTTTCTGGGGCACTTATTTTGAATTTTTGAAGTGAAAACTTCTTTAGCGGCTTTGTACACTTTTTTTGTAATGGGTAAAAATTATTAAACTCGCGTTAGGACTCGTGGCGGACACGTGACCTAACGTTGTTGACTTTCAATATATTGGACGAAACATAGTTATATTTTATTTTATCGTATTATAATAATATATAGTATCTATCTAGGACGTCCAGGTGGCAGCTTTATTGCGAAGAAAATGCATTTTTTTACAATAGATGTCGCTAGGTGTGCTTAAATGTGATTCATGTAAGTTGATTTTTCTGAGAGATAAACTTTTTAATGTAATATAAATTGTCATGTTGGTACGATAGTGCAATAAATAAATATTGTATTCTACCATATAAATCATAGTATTTTTATACTGATAATTAAAGCAATTCGTGCAAAATTATTCCCTAATCATTCCAAAATATCAAAAATGCACAACGTTAATATTCAAGTTTTACTTCTGCCGACACTCCCGGAATGCAACCTGTCGTTTTTTTTTTGGTTCATTTACTATTCGCGTCACTAGACCAATTTGTCAATATCAATTGTCGTAAGTAACAATACAGGAACACACCATATCCGATTTCATTATTTGTCATAATTAGGATACTATAAGGCAAGCTAAAAATAAAGTGTTGATGAACTATGTATACATACTCTTTAGTATTTATATGGTTGTTGTTAGAACCCACTTCGCCATGTCCTCTGCCTTTCTGTCTATCTCTCGCTCTATATCAGTACTTAGTAATAGAAAGCTGTTTTTAAAATGAGTACTCTTATTATTATTTTCATGAAGTGCAACTAAAAACTCTACAGGGCGCGGGACCCGACATACACTTGCTGTTCAATATATCTAGTCAGGTCATAAATTCTGTCACATGTAATATAAAATAATTGAAAGAAGTTTATTCATTATGTAACCATTTATATACCAAAATGAACTTAACAAAACATAGATTCTTATGACAATACAGTTTATTCAAAATGACCTTCGTGATTTTGAATACAGGCCTTCAATCTGCGCGGCCAGTCGTCTATAGCAGCACGAACGAGGTCCATGTTAATATCGGCGGCTGCCTTAATCAAGGATGTCTTGAGTGACTCCAAATTGGGATGAGGCTTTGAGCACGCCTTTTCCTCCAAGTGTTGCCATATCTTGTAATCTAACGGACACAAATCTGGACTGGAGGAGGGCCAGTCTTCGTGCCGGATGAAGTCGATTTCACGCGCCGCAAGCCAATCTTGTGTGCTCTTCGCTCTATGAGCTGGCACCGAATCCTGTTGGAATACCCAGTGCCTGTTATTGAACATGGTATGAGAAACAGGTTCCACAAGGTTCGTCAGCACTGTATTTTGATACACAACTGCATTCGTTTTTACACCTTTCTCACAAAAATGTATCTCTGTTAAGCCCCAATAAGAAACTCCCAACCATAAAGAATTTCCCGATATTTTTTTCCCGCGTACCGCTTCAACAAAGCGCGGCATCTCTTCAGTCTCAGGTCCATTAGAGTATTCAAACGATGTCCTGTTTTTCTTCGATATGCCCGAAGCCCTAAGTCTTCATTTAACACCCTTTTCACCGTGGTTCTGCTTAACCCCATCAGAAGGGCCAACAGTTTCTGCTTACGTTTGGGATTCTTTGAATTCGCGCCTTCACAGCTTTCATTTCATCAATGCTGGAGTCCTAACAGACCGAGGGCGACTTCTTCTTGACCTGTCATCTACACTAGAGTCTTCATTGTATCGTTTGATGGTACAATAAACGAATCTTTTGGTTATATAAAAATTTTTCAGTATGTCAAAAATTTGAATTGGCGCGTAACCGCAACGATGCAACGCAATAACTGCAACATGGTCTTATTTAAGCGTCCACTCCATATTTGAAAATGAGTAAAATTCTATAAAATATACATTTTTATTTTCATTAACAATTCGAAATTCGAATTCAATAAACTTTTTTGTGGCCAGCATTCTAAAAGAAAAGTTTTTACTGTGTGACAATACTTATGACCTGACTGTGTATAGTATAGACTAGTTACATCTAAAGAAAGACCCAAGTGAAAACTATGAACTGTTTTAAATGAATGTACAAGAATTGGAGCATCCGTCTGATGAAGTAACCTCCACCTTAGAAAAGAAGTGAGGTCACAAGGCCACAGTGAATTAAGGCTACCCTTTAGTAATTTTTATAGCTAGGTAGGCAAAATGACTCTACCCCACCTAATGTTAAGTGGTGATAAAGTCCAGACGCGAAGATGGCTAGCAGTTATAAACTACCACAGTTACACCAACCATCTTCACCTTGCCGGCCTGCAGAAATGCTTCTTCTCTCTTAAAGGACCCCAGATTGTAGGAAGGGGGAATACGTGCGCGAGCAAAGAATTTCATTTACGAATAGTATGACAAAGATTTTAGTGATGTTGTGTCTATGAAAGAAGTTTGAGGGCTCCACGGGGTAGGGGAAATAGGTTCAAGCTAAGCAACGGTGTACGAATATGTGAGCACAAAATAGTAGTGCGAGTGATATATTATCATACGATACTCAGCCCCCCTAGCATAAGCACGGCGATATAATCTATAGCACGTTTTTATCACGCTCAATTGTCAAATTACTATGAAGTTTGACAGTAAGACACGATAAAAAACATGATAAAATGTATTATGTAGTGGTCATGCTACAGGGACTGGTATATATAGACTATCGCTATCTATAGACTATGGCGGCCGCTTACCGTCAGGCAATTCAGGCAGGTTATAATTATGCTGTTTGACACCGTTTTAACATAAAATATTTTTTCTCAAACATGCTTGGAAATGTGAACATTATTTTGACAATCTTGTTACTGGTCGAATACATGCGAGCAGCGGTCGGCATAAATTGTGTGAAAAATTAATAATTAAAAGTAAATGAACTTCTTTTAAAACAAGCTTTTATTTAAATACTCGTACCAACGATATACAATATCGTTGCCCATTAACCGCCGGAGTTGTATATATGAATCTAACAAAATGATCCCTGCCGCTTTTTATCTAATGATGCAATTATTCATTTTCCTGTTACCATCCCTAAAAAAAGGCAGCGTTGCCCTACAAAAAAAATGCAAGCAATAAGCAATGTAACGTCTATTTGTGTAAAGAGCCTTGCAATCAAGAATATCATAGAAAATCTCGTGTGAACTTTTAACTCTCTAACTATTAATAAACCGTCATCTGCCCTTCCTCGTGCATAGAAAAAAAACATTTCTATTTAATGTTTTTTTAGAAAAGTTATTAATTATTTGTTCTCTCAGAATGCTTACATTGATGCTAATAATAATTTTAAATACAGATGCCAACAATGGGTACTTTATTTTTCAAACTGTCAAATAGCGTTTTAAGAGTATTTATAGTGATTTATCTCTATCAACATAACAGACATACCTAAGTGAAATGTTGCGAAAGGCGTACGCACAATTTGAGGACTTATCATTGGATTAATCCTCTCCCCTCTGGACCGCGATAGCGTTTAAACGTGTGCTGCGTATTGATTTTGTGAATATTAAGTCAAAAATAATAATTGTAATAAATGAAATTTAATAAATCAGTGAAAATAAATCAAGCAGTGTACCAGGATTGCATGAGCTGCGGTGAGGCGTAGCCGACTCAGTGCGAAGGAAACAACATCAGAGAGACGGCATACGTTATCGTCGCTGCGTCTATCCATGCGAATGCTGTGTACTTAAGGGGCTGCCGTGAGTCATAAGCGAGAGCGTTTGGCGGAAAGTTTGTAAGGAGCTCCTTTTTATTTTTATTTTTTATTTTTTCTCTTTTGTTAATTAAAGAGACACTAATTTTATACACCATGCCTCTCAAACGTACTCCCCCACCTACAAAAACATTATCCGATACCGATTTAAAGAACGCTGGTGTGGCTGAGCCCGATGTGGACCTGAGTGCGAGTCTACAGAATATTACTAAAAATCGCATGAAGAGAAAGCATGGTGATGCTGAAATGCAGGAATTTATTGCTGAAATGCGTACTATGTTTGCAAACTTTGTTTCGGACCAAAACTCAAAATTGCAAACTCTTCAAGAAACTATAATGGAAATAAAGGAACAAAATAGTAATACTCAAACTTTTATCGACATGATCTCTGAAAAATATGATGAACTACACAAGGAAATCGAAAAACTAAAAGAAGAACGTAGGGAAAACTGGTCTTACATAGAGAACTTAGAAAATAAGATTGAAAATATTGAGAGAAACGTGTCTTCTAGCAAAATAGAAATACGGAATGTCCCAGTTTTACTAAAGGAGAACAAAGAAGTGCTTCTTAACCTGGTACAAAATATCGGCAACATCCTTAATCTACAACTGCAAAAATCAGATTTCCGCGATGTATATCGAGGTTTCGCTAAACCAGATAAGATTAAACCTATTATTGTGGAGTTCTCATCTGTCCTACACAAGGAAAAATTGCTAATGCTCGCGAAGAAGCTGGGAAAGTCTGACCCCAATTCTCTCAACACCTCGCGACTAAAACTTGAAGGAGAACCGAAACAGTTT